ACCATATTGTATACGAACAATCTTTGGTAGGCCTATAATATAATTATAGATCTATATTTTATTTTTATTATCCGAAATATGCGGGAAAGGGTGTGATTTCAGAGTGTTCGGAGAAATAGTGCCCAGCTTTATTTTCCCAAACGTTCGGAGAAATAGTGCCGGCCACAAATGGTGAATACTATACAGAACGAAGAAAACCCCCCCAACAACACTAAGGATGGGGGATTCTGGAAAAAAAGGAGTAATAAATGAGAATCAAGATAAACAGCTTAGATCTACACACAAGTGTGGTAATTAATTTGTTATAGATCTAGAATCACAAACATGTGAGCTCAAGCTGTATTGTTTCGTTGCATTTCATTACCTGTAATTTCCTTTTTGGGGACACCTGAAGGTGTGCTGTTTCCTGTCACGTGATCACAGGTGAATCCAAAAAGAACGCTAACATAAACAAACCTGCACAGGTGAGGAATTAAACACCAGAATCCTAGAGTATTGACCAAAGGAACTGACATTTTGCAACAGTTTCCTTTGCTTTAAGACAAACCAAAGTGTACAGGCTTCATCGTTAGCTGTAAATTCCCAAAGTTCGAGACCTTGAATTATTTCCTCTTCACGTCCCAACCATTGCTTGGCTGTTGCGACGTGCTCTTGTTTCTTTTGTGAGTCCAACACACGCGCGCACTTCCGTGTTGTTCTCACAGAGCGTAACCCTTTCCCAGTTCTCTGACTAGAAGTCTTTTGAAGGCCTAAGAAATTGGGGCGCTTTTTCGGTAGTTCCCAGCCTGCAATTGTTATTCCCGGGTTTTGGCCCCAAGAGTAGGGGGGTTTCAGGGGGGCTTGCCCCCCTGACCTAATACAAATGAGGTCGGGGGTTCATGCCCCCCTGAATTTTACAACAATTTAATGTTTAGCAGTTGTTAGGTTTGATATCTTAGCTCGCCGTGAATCAAAAGTATAGATCTAGATCTAGATGTAGGTCAGGCTCAAATAAGGGGGGTGGGAACTACCGAAACTGCACAGACTTCGTATAGTCACGTGTATAGCATAGCTTTTGAGAAAAGATCTAGAAGAGAGGTCACACTCACCGTTATTGCGGTTATTGGTACAATAGTGCGTAGGCTACAACTCTAAACTAGATCTAGATCTAGTTATTAGTACAATTGTACCAATAACCAGACAGAGTTATTAGTACAATTATTCGAACTTTGGGGCTTGTTGGTAAAAATAAGCCCTGATCACTAGATCTAGTCGTCCAGTATAGTAGTTCTCCCCTTTGTTGAGCTTCAATATTAACAACTTTAACCAGGCCTAAAAGGAAAAGTAGGCTAGATCTATCTAGGTCTATACTTCTATTAAAATATAAAAGTGGATAGATAATTATGACTAATATGTTTCTGTTTTTATACAAAACCATTAGTGGAAATCTTTGAAGTCAAAACAAACAATTAGATCTATGTGAGGAAAAAAATTGTTGGTCAGTCTGGGGAGGAGAGAGAAGAAAAAAACAACAACTCCCAGGACTGGGAGATTTTTAAATGTCTGAATATTCAGATACTTCAGTCGTGGTTGGGGCAATGTTCCCGGACATACTTCTTTTGAAAATACCTCCAAAAGGTACTGCGAGAAAACAAGACTGTTCTACCTTGGCAGTAACCTATTTTGCATTTAGTCACCCAGCAAAAACTAAAATCCTTCATGTAAGAAAAATCCCTCCACGCCCCCCATCTGTTCACACCTTACACACACACACACACACACACACACCCACTCCATTCGTTTATTATCAACAAATCTCGAGAACAGAAACCGTCGGAGAAATAGAGTTCAAGTTTATTTTCCCGAACGTTCAGAGAAATAGAGTTCAAGTTTATGTTTATTTTCCTGAACGTTCGGAGAAATAGAGCCGGCCTGATATAATACTTCCTCAAACGCAGACACGCTGTCATTTCAGCCATCAGAACTATCAACAGAATAGGTAGATTAAGCTTAAAAATTTTTACAGCATTATTTCAACGCAACATATTATTTCTAGGCAAGTGGCTATTCTCCGGCGCGAGGCCTGTGGGCATGTATTATTGTACGGATAATTGTAGCAATTATTAGTATATATAATAGGCCTAACTGTGCGTACAATGTTGTACGGATAACTAGAGAGTTGTTCGCACAATTGTACTGTACAATCAGTGGCGGCTCGTGGTTCATAGACTCTTTCTTCCTCCCCCCACCCCCTTCCTTCACAACACACACAC